ATTTTAAAAAAACCAAGGACTTTTCAATTAAAAAGATTTTAATATGACAGGAACAGTTGAAATATTCCATTCCCGATACTTTTAGTGCAGCCTATGTATTGTGAACACATTAAGTCACTTATAAATATTGGATGTTACTACCCTTAATAGTTTGTGCATGCGGTGTTTACCTTAATTAATTGTGGATTTGGCTGTACATGTTATTGTTAAATACTCATTGATGTATTATTGTTACAATTACTGGTAAACCTAATAAATAAAAAAAATACTAAATTTGAATCAGGTACGTCTCGGCGTGTTTACAGTTGAAAGATTAATTACTGATAGATTTATCGATACAATCAATAAACGAAGCGTCAGACGACGGTTCGACTATTACGAGTACAAAATCAAACAACGCCTATCAAAGTGAAGCGATCGAGATGGACATAAATCTTTTTGATCGCTAGTGTTTTTCACTTTGCGAGGTATCAGTGTAAATGAGGGATAATAATGCTACGCTCACCAGATGTCGCTAATAGGTACTAAGGTGAACTTAGTTGTTACGCAGATGGTCACACAGTGTCTTCATAATTGAAAAGTTGTTTTTTAGTTTCTAGTGTAAGTGTAAACACAAAAAATGCCTCAGTGCAGTATTGTTTTTACACATTTTTAACTTTTTTTTTAATTTGTCTACTTTTATATCGAAAGAAGAGTGGATGCAGGAAACATGGTGAATGGAGCTTTGCACTCCTTTATGAGCAGTCGGAAGGTGTCATTTGGCTGTGCATGAGGGGGTGTTGGTTCCGACACTCATGTACGGAAGTGAAAGTTGGGTATGGCAGAAGAAACACGAAAGCAGAATAAATGCAGTTGAGATGAGAGCGTTAAGAAGTATGATAGGAGTTAAACTGAGTGGAGGATAAGAAATAGTGAGATAAGGAAACGTTGTGGTCTGAAAGAAGATGTAGTGACAAAAATTGAGAAAGGTATGCTGAGATGGTTTGGCCATGTCGAGAGAATGAATGAAGAACGATTGACGAAAAAAGTGTATAAGGCGAGTGTGAATGAAACTGCTGGAAGGGGTAGACCTAGGCGGACATTTCAAGAACAAATCAGGGACGTCTTGAAAAAAGGTCAGGTCAAGAGCACCCTAAGCCGTAGAGCATGTATGAAGAGAATAATGAAAGTGGACGAAGCGAAACAAGTATGTAAGGATCGTAGCAAGTGTAAAGAAGTGGTCTCTGCCTACCCCTACGCGAAAGAGGCGTGATTATATGTATGTATGTATGTATTTATATAAAATACTAGCTGTTCCCCGCGACTTCGCCCGCACGTAATTTATTACGATTGGATTTCATGGGTTTTAATTTTTTGCGCGAAACCCTAATTTTTTAAAATAAAAGTAGCCTAAGTTACTTCTTATAACATCAGCTAACTATCAGTGAAAGTCCGATCAAAATCGGTCCAGCCTTTTTGGAGATTAGCCGGAACAAACAGACAGACAATTTTTTTTAAAATCGTGTTTTTGTTATAAGTACGGTATATACTTTCATATGCATATAGTAAAAAGCTGTTATTTCGACATTACAAACAGACCCTTCAATTTTATTATTTGTGTAGATGTATAGATAGGTAATATTTCATTAAAAAAAAACATTAATCTCTACAATTTTCTGACAATATAACTTCATCTGCTATGAAGTCAATCAAATATCGTTTACCTCGTTTAAGCTCGTTCTTCGTGGCGCCGCCCTGGTGGCAGAAAAAGTCGGGTATGCCCTATTTGCTTTACAAAATCGAAGTAGCATCAATGTCAAATGGTATAGTGCCTCAGAGCAAAGTTTTATTTGTTCTGTACTACGAAATGCTTTCCGGAAGTGTTTACTACTCAGCAAAAAGCGATCACACACGGGTCACCGCGCGCTGGCTATACTAAAACAACGCGCTCGCGCACTCTTAACGAAATTAAACGAGGGTGGACTGGATAGCACACCAGCCACACCAAAAACGTAATTTTTGGGCTACCCTCTTTACAGTCCAAATTTGCCAAGCAATACTTTTTTTTAATTCTCTAATATGTATAACAAAATTAAGGGGACACTGTTTTCGTCGCCGTAAGATGCGCTAGCAGCGTTCTAGCAAGGCCATAGAAAAGGTGTCTAAGGCAGACTGGAGAGTTTTAAAAATTGGTTAAGCCTCATCACTCACCATCAATCATCGTTGTCGTCGTCGTCATTATAGTCCTTCACAAGTGCACTGCCACACATAGGCCTCCCCCAAGGAAAAAGCAGATAAAGCAGAGTTTTTTGGAAAGATTTATTAATAAAACTTTAACCAGAGAACTTTTTTTGTTTCGTAAAAGAGTCTCCGAGTGCCGCTCAAATTAGGGGCAAGCAAAGAGTGAGCTATTTTGGATGCAGCACAGTTTAAAAATATTATATAAAAACACAAGCGTATTCAAATATTATGTGAAATTTTCAAAGCAATCAGTGAAGAGCTTTTAGATTTAAAATTTTGAAAGAACCAGCTATTTCCAAAAAATACCAGTACTTTACATGTATACTGTAAGCTGTGGCAACATCGTCAAAGAAGCAATGAGAAGGCTCTACAATGCCACATGTTTTAATATAATCTTTGAATGCTGCTAAATGCTTCAGCTTTCAATATTATAAAAACGATAGTGAAGAATCAGGAACAAAAGTAAGTATGCTCTTGATAACCTAACAAACAATGTGGAGTACTTTTTGATGTAAAAATAAATATGTCTAGCATTTAAATATCTATGAGTTCCTTCCACTTCATTCAGTACCCTTACGAGAGCCTAGTAAACGATATTTTTTGGTATAGAAGAGAAGGCAAACAGGAATATGGCTCACCTGATTGTGAGTAATTATCACCGAGCATGAACATCTACAACACCAACCTTTTAGAAAGGATCTAAGGCCTCTAGTAAAGGACACCCAAGAAATCAAAGTAATGTTGAACTGTACATCAAAGGATTTACATCAGTGGTGACAAACATGTCATCTGAGGATTAAGCTGTAAAAGATTTAGTTGTACCCATCTATGATTAACAAACCAAGACTTTGATTAACAAATCAGACCACAGATTTACTGCACACACCTTTCCCGAAAAATATTTGCATTAACAGTGTGCTGTCATCTGCATATAAATGAATGTTACTAATTCAGAAAATTAAAATGATATATAATTTTTGTTTCTCTTCAATTTGATATCTTTCTATGCCACTCCAATCGCCCCATGTCGAGATCAAAAATTAATAATACCTTTATATGCAACTAAGATCCACACCTTTGTACAGGTTGCAAGATTAATATAAACAGAGAGTGTTGGCTAAGAATAAATCTATTTGGGTGAAAAAAATACTATGTGCTTGTATAAACCCATCTCATGGCAATAAAAAAAATTGATTTTTTTTTTATAAAAGAATGTAATAATATATTTGGGTTAGTGGGTACATCAGTGAATCTCTAGTTTTAAATAAAAATCACAAAAATAACACAAAAAGCTGATTTTGCATCCGGTAAACATCACCAAAACATTTTCTCTTCTCAATATACTTTTTACTGATTATTCCTATATTTTAAAAGTTATCACAAACCAGGAAAATCTGAAGTGGAACCATAAATAATCAGTTCAGTCATATGTCTACTACCATTACAGACTATCAAAAGTCCACTGCTGAACATAGGCCTACCCCATAGATTGCCTTATAGAGGTGATAGTTGCTGTAGTTGCCACCCTTGGGAGGCAAGTTGGCAACCGCAGGTTTTTATTATTGTAGGTGTTCTCAGAAATATGCTCCAGCCCATCTCCTGTTTCATTTCACTCAGTCGATACTTAAGAAACCCATGCCATAATATGAGATCTATTATGACATGGTTAGTAGTTAACTTATTTATATAAAATTACTACTTTAATACATCCCAATTCTGTAATAGTTTATAGGCTGTGCCAGTGCATGTAGCTGGACTTCATGTCAACAAAATAGTTATTAATTTCTCAGACATGTACAACTTGGGCAAAACAATTAGGCATGTGACAGGAATGCGGTTATGGCGCCCGCACCCCGTCTCTATCCCCGTGCTAATCACTGTTTTGGTGTTCCCTCTTTAGTTTTAATGATGTCTTAGCTCTCATGGGCCTAATTGTTTTGGTCACATAGTAGGTTACCTCAATATATTTTCTGTCAACTATGCAAATGTAAACCAGCTTTTAAAATTGCTTTTATCGATTTGTGTGACATACTGGGTATTAAACTCAGTTGATCAGATATAATGAAATTTAAGGTGATCACTTAAGCCAACAGGCTAATACAACTTATTTTTTTACTTCATAAACCTTTTATAAAACTTACTATTTATTTATTTTTAATTAGAGCACTGATGACATACTTTATTTTATATATTAAAGTGGTGCATAAGAATATCTTTGACATTGAAATATAACTAAATAATTACTTTTATTACATAATTTTATTTTTCTCTTTATCATGCAATTTTATTAGATTACAGGTAGCTTGGATCTGTGGAAGAACTGGTTCTCGCCCTTAAGCAACATAAGTGAGCAACATGATCAATTCATTAATTTATAAAATTATACTGGATTTGGAAATTTTAATTGCATTTAATTTTTAATTAAATTGTATTCTTGCAACAAAATATTATCGCATAATTTTTTAAAAAAAAAAAGCAGTCTTAATTTACTACAGGTATATTGATAAAAAGCCAGTCTCACAAAATTAAGTAAAAAAAAAAACAGTGATAGTTTTTAGCGTAGCCAATCAATAGTAAATTTTAAGACTGAAAAGTGTTAGTTTTGGTTAATTTGGTTTGTTAATTTAGGTTTTAATTTTTTTATTGTACTAAATATTGTCAAATATTAAGATACACAGAGAGAAAAAACAAATTCTGATCATTTTATCGAGGATAAATAATATAGGTTCATGGGATAGATTTATACATAACGAAATCAATGAATATCAAAAACTGCTTACCGTTATTGCATTATCCTTTTTCGTCACCAAAGTTTCTTCATATTCGTAATCGGCGTAAATATGGTCTTCCGTATATTTCACATTTGGTGAAATAACCTGCAAGCTCGAGACTTTGTTCATATTTTATATAATGAGTCTTCTGTTACAAAATGCCTTTATGCTTTTGATTGGAATGTCTTATTTATTTTTATGTGAACTTTCTGTGTAACAAACTTTCCGCAGAAATACAGCATAAATACTAAACACTAAACAGTAAACAGCAAACAGCAGCTCAAGCTCAATTTGAAAATTTGAATGCCAGTTTATAAAAAGTACTCTGTGTTTGAATGATTAGATCAAAGAGAATATAACCACTACGTTTAAGAGGCGGGACCACAGACTAATATGAGGACTTCCTAAAAAAAAGTAAATGTATGACATTGCGCTAAGGCTAAGCTACTCTACCAACATCAAGACATGACAATTAATTTTTGACAAACAGTGCTGACAACATAGGCGATTTCTAATAGTGCTGTGATGTCTATCCTCGAATAATTCTATCGATAAAACTTTAATCGATATATTATTTATCGATATTTTTACATAATAAAAGTTAGTTGTCTATACTGAATTATTTATGAGCAATACTTTTTTAATCTGGGGATTGAGTAAAAATGCCGATTAGGATAACAAATCATTGTATTTTACACACAGAAATTTGTAATTATATCTCTACAGTTATTAGGTACAAAAATATGTGTAAAGAAAATTAAAAATTAAAACGCACTATTATACTAATAATTAATTAAGTAAAAACTAAATGACGACTCCGTAGCGCAGATGCTAAGCGTTTGGCTACGGCACTGCAGGACCGAGGCTTCGTTCCCGCACTGAACTATTGTTGCTATGCTGTAAAATAAATAGTTTGCGTCTGGACGATTGTGTTCAACGTTAGTTTTTTCAAAAGGGTATAAAATTGGGTTTATTAACACTAATTGGATTAAATTGCTTTTAACTGTAAAAAATACTATGTACAAATCGCTAGGCTTTTTCACAGAGGTACCTACGTACATACTACTCGCAGAGATCGTATACTTATTGTCGCTTTCAAAATGAGTGTTCATGATGGCTAATGTTTGTAGATGAATCTATAAAAAAAAAAACTATTTATAACCAGGTAATTACAAATAACTTTGAGTTTAGTTTTATAATCGAATTCTTACCAATATATGACTTTATATGGATATTATCTTTTGCTACATGTAAATGAAACCTAATTAACATACACATAATAGTGGAAGTTTAAATTAACTCCACTGATGAAATAACAGTTCGTTTTAGTTGGATTTCTAAATCCTCGGATTTGCAATGTTTGTCACAAATATGTTCTAACATGTGAATCTTTTCAATTGGTGCATGTGCCAACTGTTTCGCCCATTGCTTGCACCTGAAAAATAATATAAATAAAATCACATTTTTATTGAACAAATAGAATGCTATCAGTCACAATTGATGATGTAGTAAGTATAGTTGGTTTCGGATTGCCATACCATCGAACTATCAGATTTAGGAAATTGTGTGTTTGTATTTGTGCACACAATCGTACACAATTAAAACCAGTCCCATGTAGATGGCTAGTCCAAAAATGTAGTCGCGTTAAACATCATATTACAATCAAAGTTGAACTCACCACATACCTTTCATTATCTAAGGGAAATATTGCTACGAATAGCCTTTTCTTATTATTATTTTTTCCGCTTCTTGCACCATTTAATTGGCAAGTTTTATAATGCATACCTATTTATTTTTTTAACAATTGTTTAAATGAACAACAGCTTCTATAACAAAATTTAAAGCAATCTTAATAAATAAAATATAATTATACAAATATAATTGTTTGATTTGACATTTGAACCTATTTGATGTGACAATGTCATTAATAGACATATTACGAAAAGCGGAAAGAAGAGATAACCGTCATTAAAATTTGACCCCTGTAGTACATATAATTTTTACTATGGAAGTTGCGCCAGCCTGGATTTGATGTAGGCGTGTGTATCTCTTTATGGAAACGACTCACTGATACGAATCACTGAAGTGACACAAAAGATTGGTTCAGTAACAACGTTTCAAATGTATCATTTGTATCTGGAACAGTGAAACATTACTTTGCTCTTTGCTCATTTCGCGCGACGCGTCGCTTGCGAGGCGACTGAGCCACGAGCGAGAGAGAGAGACTGAGACAATGATTAACTTAACTATTGAGTCACGAGTGTGGAGTGAGCGGGCGAAATAATTATAATTCACACAAGTCAGATAGAGATAACAAATAAGAAGTGTTTCACTCAACTCGTACGGATTTTCGCTGACGTTATTCATGCAAGTAAAAATTACCACTAAGGCGCTTTTGTGTCAAATACTATACGGTCGTTTTTTGTATGTAACGTTTGCATTAACAATTTGTCATTTTACGTTGATGCGGCACTTTTCAAATTGCTTATATTCATTAGCGCCTGTTAACGAAAACATACTGAGTTATGTTTAGGATTTCTTTGCGTAGTGATTATTGTGACTTTACTTTATTCCTTTTCATCATAAAGTTTAGAGTTATGATACTTTACGAGTAAATTCTGTGTACATAGACATTGCTGTTTTGAGTAAATGGACATTTTTGTAAATAATGAATTGGACATAGTGACATTTTTGTTAAAGTATGAAGGAGAATCGATTTTATATACAATCTTATTATGGTACACAATAAATAATCTAAGCACTTATATTATTCAGCATTTTTGCCACATAACATTTCACGGATCAGTCAGTAATAAACGCCCGCGACGCAACTTAATGTATTCGGAACATTCTTTCTTTTATATCTTTTGGAGTCGATGATACAAATGAGCCAAATGAAACATATCAGTGTTTCGGAACATTTCAGTGATCAAGATGCAAATGTTCCAATCCCAAAAATGATACACTTTGCCCACCTCCAATTTGATGATTTGAATCAAATCCAATCCAACCCCAACCTTATTTATCTATGACCCCAACCCGGCTAGCCATAGATTACTGTATATATCATGCAGTTTTTCCGTATACCGTGTATACACTCTTATCTATGGTATATATACTACCATAGATATAGTATACATTAGATTGGCGATGGCGTGATTAGGTTGAGAGTTGAGACCAAACACGAAATGTACCCGTTGAGTGAAATGTGCATGTGTGCGACAATAATAGCGCTGCGCCATGTATCTACTTCAATTATCGATACATAACGCTGTGTCTGTGTCATAAAATGAATATTATTATGTTTGAGGGCATAAAAATAAAACGACAAACAAAAAGTTTGTGATTTTAATTTTCCACCAAAAATAACTAAATTATTGTAAAAATGTCGTAAGCTCTCCTTAAGAGGTATTTTGCTATTTTGCTTTATACTTCAATCTAATAATCAAATAAGTTTCTATTATTAATTTAATAATTAAGTGTTTATGGTTTTATAGTGCTGGCGAATCGAACATACCTATTTCAAGTATGTTAAAAAAATTTGCAAGACACAAGGCATTCGTTTACTAATTTTCGAAACATATTTTCGTTTACAATTTTCCTTTCACATTTTTTCGGAAAACACATTCAGAACAAATATCTATCTCATAAACTTTTCTTAGTCACCCTTTCGATGAGATGCTGCTACAAATCGTTTGAACTAGATGCTAAGACAGCACTAATGTTATTTTGAAGTGAGGGAAGCCTTTCTAGGTTTTTTATCACTTGATAAAACTTTACCACTTTTTTATTAGCCCGTATTTTTGTGCTCTTACATTTTTAAGTTTTTTTTTTTTGTTTCATATCTTTTTTTATAGGATAGGGTGAGAAACGAGCACACAGTGCACCTGATGGTAAGTGGTTGCTATGGCCCATAAACATCTGCGTCTATCTTCGTTTGCGAATTAAAATGCAAATGCGTTGTCAGCAGATAGGACTAATATTGAACGCCGCTTTTACAGCAAAAATGGTCTCCGGTTCTCTACACTTACCATACGAAACACAGCAGCATTAAGCTACTATTTTACGCTGGTATTCTGTGAGAGCGTGGTCCTTCCCTGGTCGAGCCAACCCATTCGTGCTACAACTATAATATTGATATAGCTGCAGTATGTCTCTACCACGTAAAAAATTTGTAACTTTTTTTTGTATGAAGATGACTATAGGTGACCAAGTACTGCAGTAACCGTTTATCATCAAGTGATACTGTAACTTCCTTTGTTAATTTCGTTTTATAAAAAAATATACACTACGTGGATGACAACAACAAGTTGTACACGTTTGAACATGCGCAAACGAAATGAACATATGTACAGTTAAATATATAATTAAGAAAATACGTACGGGCGTATATAATAAATAATGTGGGAATTGATCCAAAACGCAGCTTTACTCTTTGTGCACGTCTATGAGAAAAACATGTTACTTCAAAGTGCTTGCTAACATGTAGTTGAATGGTTTTTGGGAACCCATCCTTCTCTATTTATCATTTTTATTTAAATTTTTGTTTAACCTCTATATTTTTTGAAAATCTGAAACATTATAAGAAATTAAATCATCTCGTAAAAGTATTTACAATAATGCGTAAGTATTTACAATTACGAAGCACTTAAACGTAAAAATAGAACATTTAAAAAAAACGAAGTCACAAGAGGCTGCATCCAAGGATATGCCTTTGCCTGTTAAAAGATATTATCGATAAGATGATATTGATAGCGTCAATCCCGTAGATAGAGAATTGACTAGATAAAGCATTCGCGTATACTTTTGAGATAGAAATAGGCGGGAGGTACTTTCACTGGGTTACCAGATATTGTTCCATTTCCCCCGTTATGGGTTTATTTATATTCACAGCACTTACATTCATACAAAAAACTTAATTGTTACCATAAAAAAAATGTTCTTTTATAATTCAGATGATTAATTCATTTGTCTTGAAAATACATTCTGTGACTAAAAACTACGAGCGGAAACGGCGTAAAAACAGAATCATCATTCTGTATTCAACGGCGCATCGACGATTTTACTGGGCATTCAATAAACTCTTTGGATTTCGACGGCACTAAGTGAAGACGCTACTAGCACAAGTG